GTAATCTATACGATCTTGATCATCTAAATCCTCGCCGCTGGTTGCGAAACCATTCTCTGTTATAAACATCTCCATGTTTCCATACTGTTTTTTCAACCATGATATGAGCTTTCGGAAATCTTCCGGGTACACCTGGAACACGAGTTAGTTGCTTTTTTATTGTTTCAATCACCACTTGGCTGTCTACATTACTCTTCAATAAACACGTATGACGTAGGATCAGTTTCCAAAGACAGTGTTCAGCCTCAATGAGTCTTACAACTGTATATAGTAACAACAACACTCACATAGAACCAGCTGGAGCCAGCTTGCGGCCATTCTGGTCTCACTGATATTATTACATCAATGTCTGGTCCACCGAAGAGAGGCCAAGGACCAACAGCTTCCCCTCGGGCGAGGCGAGCAGTTCGTGATGTGTAGTAGTTCAAACCGTACAAGTCATACGTGCCTTTGAAAAATTCAATCAAAAAAACTTTGAAAGGGACGCCTATTGCTATTTATATGGCTGTCTTATAACTTTACTTATAAATTATAATTATTAAGAGAAAATCTTAGTTTTGGTATTAATTTATGTAACGATTATACTATTTATATTTTATTCTCACCTCTTATTAGTTTTTTTTCTTCTTTTGTGAATTCTGGTAATCTGGATTTCCTGAATCCCTGTTGTTTACTCTTTTCTGCTATGAGTTTTTCTATTTTCTTCGGCCAACCGCCTTCCTTAGAGTAGATTGGGTGTGAGTACAGTCCTCCCTGAAATTATACGACAGTAAATGAACATTTTCAAACATTTGAATTAAACTTCTGAAGTATTTAGTAACACTATTATTTTTGGACACTTTTTGTTATTTTATTCACCATTAACTGTAGAGCCAGTTCAGCCGCTTCTCATTCATTTTCATCATCTCCCTCAAACCACATGACTTGATTGGTGATGGTCACTTTGCCTTTAAAATATAATGTAATACATTTGCATATGTATGCAGAATTAATTCAAAAGAACCTAGAGATTTTATTAATTAACAAAAATCAAGTACCTAAAGTATTTTTTATAAATTCATATAATTCTTTTACCTTTATATTTTCGTCTAAACTCCTTGTCATATATCCGCCATACTTTAGCGTGTGCCAACATTGTGTTCTTGCTGTAGATATAATTTCCAACTCCAGTGCTAACTATTCCTGGAGCGTGAACTCCAAAAGTGTAAGCAACGTCACAAAACGTCAGCGGTTCATTGAGAGTGATCCAAGTTTTGACTCGGTCAGCGTATAGAGTGAACACAACACGAGCGTAGTCCGCAAACCAATCTGATATTAAAGGGTTGGTCCAGCCGCCTGTGAATTATAACTTGGGCTAACAAACATTTCATAACTAGCTGCCCGGCGGACTTCGTACCGCCCTATAATGAAGAAATATCTGTAACCTTTTTATCTGAATGAAGTTAATTTCCTTATTCCTCAATGAAGTTTTGCCTGGTTCAACCTAATAAACATTAATCAATCAGTTTCTACTTTTACATACATATCGACAGCATATTGGTGTCAGAGACGCTAACATATTAAGATGTGATTGACCTTAACTTCTCCAACCATAAGCCTGTATGAATACTAATTCATTTAATTTACTTTTTGTTAGTTTCAGAACCTAAAAACATTTTTTTGTGATAAAATTATATAAATTACTTAAAGCTATGATAAACATTAAAAACTTAAATTTCTTATTTACCTGTAACTGGATTTATCATCTTCATTAAAAATAATACCCATCTTCAACTTACCAAAATAAAATAAAATATATTTATACATGTTTGATGTGTTTCTGACACACGCTGCAGTTGATTGTTACACCAGTGTAAAACAATATTGCTGTTATCCACATTTTCACCCACAATGACAATAGCGACTTCATCAATTCTTTGGGCATTAAAATGTCTTATGTTTTTTATAACAATTTTGTGATTATCAGATGTCATGTGATCTAATGCGGTCTTGAATAATGCAACCAATGGGTTGTGTTGATGGAATAATAATTGGAGCTGTTCCACAACTGGTCTTTTCACAGAATAGTTGTGTGCACAACGCTGATCAACTTGTCTTCCTGAATCGCCCATGAAATTAATTTGGAAAAATTTATAATTATTGACCGGCACTGGTAATAACTAATAAGTTTAATGATATATTTGTCCTTGAATCTGCAAAGGTAAACATTCCTGTACTACATATACATAATACATATTGTAAAATGAATTGTTCAAACCACCAAATGACACTCAAAATACTTTGTGAATTGTGAGCACTAACATTTCCCCCCTCAACTTTTTTAACACAATTCCTTCTGGCTACCAAAAGTAATTCACAGAGCTACAAATGTACTTTAAGCCATTTCAAATGATACATCATTACAATTGATAACTGTCAACAATAGTGGTAAATGTACCTTGCCTTAAAACTACACTTACCTTAAAAGTTGGCATAAAATATATTATACTGTTGACCATTTCTGTTATAATCAAATGCAGCTCTATAGAGGTTAAAAGCAACACTTCTATATCGTTGGTTTCGGTTCCATCGATTCCGTTCAACTTCATTCCGCGTTTAACGTTGCTCATCAGTTAGACTTGCTTTTCTATATCTAATATCTTTGACTTGAGGCATTACGGGTTCTGCGACTTAAGTTTGTACGTCTAATTGCCGGCATGTTTTGAAACAAAAATTCCACTGAAAAGAAAAAATACTATTATTCTATTCCTATTATTTTGTAATAGTATCAAAATGGTCTATCAAAACTTTCCAACACTATAATTTGACTTTACCTTGTTGGACAAACACTTCAGAAAAAAACACACGGTACAAATTATCTTGTAGAAACCAATGTGGAAGTTACACTAAGAAATGGTAAATGAATTATGTAGGTATTTTGTTATTATAACTCCGGCCACAAATAGTGAAACTGAATATGTACTCGTACAAAACCACACAAAAAAAAAACAAATTTACTGTTTTGCAAACAATTTCAAAGAATAACTGATTACTGAACTTTTAAGACAGGGACAATAATTTATCATAGACTAATAACACAAACGACAAGCTCAGCTTATGTATCGCGCATTTAAAAGTGAGTAATTTTAATCATGTTAAATGTAAATCATAAATATTAACAAAAAAAATCAATTCAATTTTCATTCAGTGCTTTGTGATAAACGATGTTTTTTGTTTGATTACCTGGCGCATAGACAAACAAATCTGATGGTTATTATTATATTTTGTGACTACCTATTCAATTGGTCGGGTCCCGCGATCACTTTTTTTTAGTTTCTGAACGCGACATTAAATGCTCCAACGACGTATTCTGTATTCCAACGCACACACGCACCCTGTTTTGATAGATATGATTGAATTTGAACTTTGTGTAGCGGTAAGAAAGTGCAAATTTAGGAATTTTGACTTTAGGAAAACACCTGCATTTCCTAGATAACAGTGAGAGCTTGTAATCGAATATGATAATTGAACACAATAGCAATAAAGCTCAAATTGATTCGACGTTTTAGTTAGAAAACGTTTGTATGTGAGAAGGAAAAGGGTTGTTTTTAGGGTTTTCCCGGAAATTATTAGATTTTTTCTCGCCCAAAGAACCATCCTTGGACTTCAACGAACATTTAAAAAAAAGAATTGGCCAAATTGGTCCAGGCGTTGTTGAGTTATACGCTTACCAAGACATTTTGCCATTGATTTTTATATTATAGTAGATATATTTAATTTTTATTGTTAAATGACTATCTTATTGTGGTATACACTAAAGTACATTATTACATTAGGTATGTAATTTTCTTAATAACAGTATTTAATGTTCACTCTATAAGCAGCATCTTACAAACCCTTTTATTGTAAGAGTTTTTACACAACATACTAATCTTTCCTGTGAACAACACGGGGTGGCGCTAGTAGCGGCATGGGTCGAGTAGTGGATATGATTGATTGAATATGGAAATAAATCTACACAGGGTTTTAATAGAGTTCAACACTTAGATGTATTCTTTAATAAAAACACAAAGATCACAACCACAATAATTATAATTCATTTCAATTCAACAATAATAATATTCTATATGATAAATGAGGTTTATATAAACATTAGAAATGAAAACAGTTCAAGGTACATTATAACAAAAACTTTCAGTGATATAATAAATACTATTCCATTAAAAACTAATTATTCTAGAGGAAAAAGTATGATAAGCACAATTAGTACATCCAGAAAAAAAAACGTTTGACTTATGTTTTATCAGATTATAAATAACAATAAAACATTAGAAAAGTACATCAAATAGTGACTAGTGAATAGTTGACTGGGTTTAACAAAATACTATGGACCAAAAGATATTACATATAAAACTTGTACTGTTAAAGATATTGTTTGTCAAGTCTAAATTCAATGTAAAGGAACGAAGTCGCAGATAAGTTGTAGATCGGCTGCTAGGCCGACTGTGGGTGGTTACGCGGGTACATTAGGGGCCTAGGGTACCTGAGGGGCTTTCCGGCCTAAATCGCACTCGTTCGTAAAACCCGGTGCTGTATTACGCCTTTATTTAGCCATTGGCTACCCAAGTGTTGGTTTCCAGAGATGCAGCAGGGTTGAGAGCCGGCTCACGGACTTTTTTGGGAAAAAAACTTATCTTGGTAAAATTATGAGGAACAAAGAAACAAAGCAAGAATTTATAAGATACTGTGTGCAAATCACACAAATGGCTAACAGAAGAAACAAGTAATACAATAATGTAAAATAGCAAATAAGAGTATCTAAAAAATGAAGGAATGAAGAAATAAATTTGAATATACATAAATACGTAGTTGGGGAGGATCAAGGAGGATGCAATGAAGAGCCCTTCTGTAATATATGACTGCACCTCCTTTGGCTGAAAAACGGTGGTTCCTAATGATGTTATAGTTCCCAATCCGTGGGTTTCTACTCTAAGAAGGACTCTTGTACTAGGCGTACAACACTAGGAGTGACATTGCCCCGGGGCGAGGCGGTTTAACGGTGGCTCTATTGTCAGTCCGAATAACTGACATACTGAGGCTATATTGAATATCTCTTTACCTTCCCTGGTAAGCGACAGGGGGACTAGCACCATATCGAATGGTTTTTTGTTTGGCTTGTGCATACGATGCACCTCTAAAACTGGCAGGTTTTGGGACTTAAGGTCCTCTTTTATTTCATCAATGGGAATCTCCGCGGGGAGACCCTTGATGACGACTGTTAGCCTACGCTCCTCCGGGAGGGCGTAGGTGTGGTATTCTAATTTTTGTAGTCTTAGCATCGCGGATAACGCGCGATGGTCGTTCGGTGTGGCCGCGGTGACCTTAATTCCCGCCTGTGCGTTACGTGCCGACACGTATTTTATCTTTTTGTCGTTTAGGAGGCTGGATATGGAGTTCCAGCTCTTGTTAGTTCGAATGTATAACGGCGGCGGGTATTTAGTGAATGTTTTGGGTGCGGACCCAGGTAGACCCGTAGGAGCGGACACAGGTGTGTCCGCAGGTGCGCGCGCAGCTGCACCGGCAGCTGCTGGGGTCAACGGTTTTTTGGTTGGCGGCGGCGCCTTTAGTGACTTGGCCGCCTTCCTCTTACCAGATTTGGTAAGGACGGGTTTGAACCCGTCGTTTTCCTCTTCTGCGTCCGAGGAGGACGGCGTCGAGTCTGTCTCGGCTTCCGAGCCGATTGGTGAGCAATCCATGTCGCATGGATTGCTTTTTGGACAGTCCGGTGAAGCCGGGCTGTCCGTATCGAAATTGGTGGGTTTTATTTCGGGGTTCACCTCGGTGAACTCCCTGTACGCATCTGGGAATTTTTTTATGAAGAAAGCTAGTAGGGCCTCTAATCGGCCCGAATTATGGTCGCCCATGATGGGCGACGGACTTATGGGGAGTCCTCCCTGCAAGGCAGGGAGGTGTGTAACCTATTTGATTCTAATCTAGACCCTGTTATTAGGTAACAGGGGTGAACCTACTTCCCTAAAAACTAACGACTGTGTAAATACCTTATGAGGGTGGCAGGACAACGGCGACTAAACGACGGTAACTGCTACCCTTTTCTTGATACTTCTATCGACGCCGGACACGTCGATCTTCTGACCTCTTCTGTAACTTGATGACACGTAACACAAACACCATCGGAACACTGATTACGCACGTCTGCGCCGTGCGAATGCCCAACTGAGAGTCCGCTGGTTGCGAAACCATTTTCTGTTATAAAGATCTCCATGTTTCCATACTGTTTCTTCAACCAAGATATGAGCTTTCGAAAACCTTCCGGGTACACCTGGAACACGAGTTAGTTGCTTTTTTATTAATTCAATCACCACTTGGCTGTCTACATTACTCTTCAATAAACAAGTATGACGTAGGATCAGTTTCCAAAGACAGTGTTCAGCCTCATTGAGTCTTACAACTGTATACAGGGTGACTGGTGAATTACTATCAATATTTAAGGAGCATACTCGGTACATGATTCTCATTCGAATTATGTAAAAAAAATAGGCACTTAATTTTTGACCAAATTTCCGTATAAATAAATAAAGCGTGGATACGTTCCAAGTGTTCCAAGTGTGGACGCGTGCGGCGGCGTACTGATACAACAACACGCCGCCAAACGCGTATGTGTGTGTGTGAGTGTATACCTAATCTGTAGGGTGTGCACACGATGCGTAATTAATTACATAACTTTTGGTTAACTTTACTTAGAAGTTTATTAATATTTATGTTATACTAGAAGACCCGGCGAACTTCGTTTCGCCCTATAATCAAGAAATATCTGTTACGTTTTTTTATTTATATTTTTGGAGTTTACCTATTAAAGCCATAAATCTCCGTGTTTTGAAGTGATTAGGAATGATTAATAGTTAATATGAGAGTTACACTGAGCTAGCAAAATAATAATTGTCAACGTTACTACTACACTTGATGCACAAACAATAACGATGGCCGACAACTGTGTAGGGAGTGAGAGAAGTCTAATTGTGTGAGAGAAACAGAAGACCGGCTTCGTTCTCATCCCTACTCCGTGCTGTTTACTGGGTCAGAAGTGACACCTGTAGATATCTGGCGGGGATAACTTATTAAATGACGATTGATCAGTTATCGACCGGAGATGAAAAATGATTAAATTACTAAAATAGCTATTAAAAAATAAGGGTTGATCGTAGAAGGGTGAAAATTTAGGATTGTATGTATTTTTGTACGTTGTATCATAAAAAAATAGTAATTAAAAATTTTGTCTAAAAAATAAAAAAAAAAAATTTAGGGGTGGACTACCCCTAACATTTAGGGGGATGAAAAATAGATGTTGGCCGATTCTCATAGCTACCGAATAAGCACAAAAAATTTCATCAAAATCGGTCAGGTTGTTTCGGAGGAGTATGGGCACGAAAACTGTGACACGAGAATTTTATATATTAGATTAATTTTTATTTTGTCATATATGATGGTCAAATATGACGTCCTCAAATATCGATAGTAATTCACCAGTCACCCTGTATAGTAACAACAACACTCACATAGAACCAGCTGAAGCCAGCTTGCGGCCATTCTGGTCTCACTGATATTATTACATCAATGTCTGGTCCACCGAAGAGGGGCCAAGGACCAACAGCTTCCCCTCGGGCGAGGCGAGCAGTTCGTGATGTGTAGTAGTTCAAACCGTACAAGACATACATGCCTTTGAAAAATTCAATAAAAAAGCTTTGAAGGGACGCCTATTGCTATTTATATGGCTTTCTTATAACTTTACTTATAAATTATAATTATTAATAGAAAATCTCAGTTTTGGTATTAATTTATGTAACGATTAGACTATTTATATTTTATTCTCACCTCTTATTAGTTTCTTTTCTTCTTTTGTGAATTCTGGTAATCTGGATTTCCTGAATCCCTGTTGTTTACTCTTTTCTGCTATGAGTTTTTCTATTTTCTTCGGCCAACCGCCTTCCTTAGAGTAGATTGGGTGTGAGTACAGTCCTCCCTGAAATTATATGACAGTAAATGAACATTTTCAATCATTTGAATTAAACTTCAAAAGTATTTAGTAACACTATTATTTTTGTTTAGTTTTTGTGTTTTCACCATTAACTGTAGAGCCAGTTCAGCCGCTTCTCCTTCATTTTCATCATCTCCCTCAAACCACATGACTTGATTGGTGATGGTCACTTTGCCTTTAAAATATAATGTTATACATTTGCATATGTATGCAAAATTAATTCAGAAGAACTTAGAGATTTTATTAATTAACAAAAAATCAAGTACCTAAAGTATTTTTTATAAAATCATATAATTCTTTTACCTTTATATTTTTGTCTAAACTCCTTTTCATATATCCGCCATGCTTTAGCGTGTGCCAACATTGTGTTCTTGCTGCAGATATAATTTCCAACTCCAGTGCTAACTATTCCTGGAGCGTGAACTCCAAAAGTGTAAGCAACGTCACAAAACGTCAGTGGTTCATTGAGAGTGATCCAAGTTTTGACTCGGTCAGCGTATAGAGTGAACACAACACGAGCGTAGTCCGCAAACCAATCTGATATTAAAGGATTGGTCCGGCCGCCTGTGAATTATAACTTGGGCTAACAAACATTTTATATAATGCTACAAGCTTGTGTGGAATGCCCTGAAAGGTGAGGATTCTTATTGATGGACATTTAATTTACAAGATTTACTTAAGGTTCCTGATTTATAAGATTAGAACTCATTAATATTTATTCATCAATATGATTTGCCGTTCAAAGGTTTTCGTTTAAAGAAATCATTTACAAAGAACATGTTGTTACTGAAAAATATTAATTTAAATGGGTTCTTCAGTTTTATCATGAAAGATGAACTTTTTGAACTTATATAATTAAAATTTATAATAAAGTATTTTGAAAACAAATGTTTTGTTTTATTATTTATTCTATTTGATATAGTGAAGAAGCAATGCATTTGTATTAAATACTTTTTCCAATCTCTGAAATTCACCAAGATCTTGTAAATTTTGTGCCAAATCCCAGTGATATATTACAACGACAGGCTCGATTCCTCTCTTCAATAAAGCATCTGTAAAGTTGGAGTAAAATTTTACTCCGTCTTCACTCGTCTTATTTGTAAAACCATGAGGCAAAATTCTTGGCCAAGAAAGAGAAAATCTATAAAAAAAATATATACACAAATTAGTTATCATATTAAAAATTTAGACTAATATTCCGTAATAAATTATTTACTAACCAACTATAATTATTATTATATATGAAAAGTTAATATTCAATCGAACGGAAAGGGATCGCGTATTGGTACATTTTTTCCAAGTTGCTTGGAGCGTTCTCCCACTGACCACTCGTGTCATACATCTGGATGGCACTTTTAATAATGGAAACAATATACCATACAACATCATGTCTACAACATATATTTATTTTCATTAGATCTAGAGGGTAATGGCATTTTTTAAAATGTGCTAGCTAATTTTAAAGCGCGTTGTGCTAATAGAGCTCACGGTTCCTTTGGAAGCCAACATTTCGAAAGACTATGTGATCAAGGTCGACAAGTATTACAAGCTCACTAAAAAACTCACTAAGAATAGGTTCGTGGTAAATTTGTATCCTATAGAAGTGCAGAGAGAGGTATGACAGCCAATTCTCTCTACATCCTACTAAAAGACTTGAGAGTGTTCTGAACTAATATCAGTTCATTACAACGTGCGTTGAAGGCAGCAGTAGTAGGTTCGTTTCAATTTTGGTTAGGTTTTGAGAGGAGCTTGGACGGTGTGAGTATATTCATATCAATAGACGCATCGTTTTCCCTAGTGGCTCTCGGCTCTCAAAGGCTTGTATGTAGTAGGTCTGTCAACCGCAGCATCGACTCATACTGAGACGCTTCCTGAACGATGTTTAACATCGATTTAGGAAAACCATATGTTTGTTCTATACATATAATTAAACAATGTATATTTCAATATTTTACCTTATACATAGATATAGCTTCATCTGTGTCTGTATCTATATCTGTATATAAATGTGTTCAGCCTTTCTAAAGCGCCCTTCCTGTCGTAATTGTTGAGCGAGTGTCAGTAAATATCTGTCTGTCTTCTTCTGCCAGATGTGTAGCGGCAACACGTAGACCTTCCGACACTGCCCGCGGCGTTGTACGCTCTTACACATTTCTCCGCCATGCCACAGGATATGAGAACTCGTTCCGCTGTATCCCATTCCTGTAAATGTTTGCAAAAATAGATAAATATAATTAATGAATATTAATTGACATATGAAACCTACTAGAATAAAATAAAAATCGACCAAAACCTTGAATTCAAAAAATTGAATAAATTGATCGTGAAGTTAAACCCGCGTATAAAAGAAGAAATGAATAATTGAAAACATATTAGTTTTCACCCTTAGTGGATGTTTACATTTATATTTTTGTAACTATACACAATAACTAATAAGGAATGAACAAAATCGAATTACGTTAATAACAATTATAAAAAAAAAAATAGAAACATATTTCTTTTGTTCATTATTTAAAATAACTTACTTGAGAAGATATAAAATGATCCCCCAACTGTTCACTTTGCTTCCGAATAGATTCTTTATCTTCTATAACCTAAAGATATCAATGGATTGATTTACAAAAAATATATATAAAAAAACAAAGACTTTATTTATATATTATTGGAATCTCGGTATCGGCTCAAACGATGGCGATAAATCGATCTAGCTAGGAATAATTATCATCATTAATCATTTAGAAAATGTTATTTTACGTCAAAAAAGAATAACAAAAATTTGTCGTTTAAAATATGACTCTTCCTGACATCTAGTGGCGAATAGTGATACTACTTTATGCTACTTGCTTTTACTAATTGCTTTAACGACACAACAGCAGATGGCGTTGTTAAGTATCAGGAAGTCAATGAATGTTTGTTTTAAGGTTAGACTAAGAAATTAATTGTCGATTTATATTGTTTTCTGTCTTCTTACCGTTCTGAACTGCTTGTACATATTAATGGCCAATTCTGGCTGAGCGGCTCCACGTACGTAGTATTCTTCGGCGGTGGTTAAGTCCCCCACAAATATTGCTAGACGTGCACGAACCTCGGGACTCTTTAAACCTATGCATTATATTATAATCACGATTAATAAAATAAATAAATTTTACTTTCTAGTTGTTTGTTCTTCATGCACTGTATTTAAACTAAAATGTATTTAAACCAAAATGTTAACTTTGTGATTACATGCACTCTGTTAATATTTCAGCAAGAAGTGGTTGCCAGTAACTGAGGTAGCACATAGCATCTCAATTGTATTAATTTAAAAAATTGTATTTGTGTATACTTTGTTGGCGATCCAATAAATAAATAAATGAATACTATTAATACAATAAGTGCGTCCAAAAAAAAACTTGATACATGAGGTGTACCCAAATCGTGTAAATGCAAAAAATACCTTCATCATTACTCCCGTTCCCTTTGGCTGAAGCTAACTCGACAGTTTTCTTTAGATAAAATATTCTAGCCTCATCACCTACTGCTTTATAGCATTTCGTCGCCAACTGAAAAAAAGATATATCTCTTATGAGGTACTAAAACGTTTAAATGTTATAACATATATTAGTCCTTCTCTAATTTGAGCAGTGAGGAATATACCACCACCACTGAATGGCCTAACACTTAACCAAACATAACTGTTGTTATGTAATTAAATAATGTATGTAAACATAACTGTTGTTATGTCAATGTAAAGGAAGTTATCATAAGTTTGAAGTCGAATAATATTTTTTATTTTATTACGTTTAAATTGAAATGCACATTATTTATTTTCAAACCATAATTTTAAGAGATCTTTAAACTGCTTTAATTTTTACATAACTAGTTAAAGCGCTTTATGTAGGAAATAATAATATTGGGGTGTTCAACGTAATATTGACAAAGTTGTCATCATAGATAAAACACTGTATTAGAAATTGGTTGTCATAAGGTCATAATGTCATACTACTTTGCATTCAATATTTTCATTCTCTATGTTGATACTTTTTAAGTAGTGGATAAATTCTGTGAGTGGACGGATGGATTGAGGACAAAACCCAGTAAATGTCCTTGTCTGTGTCTTGGTAGGCGGAATACAAGATACACCTCATACGATCCGGGACTATCGTTAGGCGGTCAATGAATTTCTACGGTTACGGAAAATGCACCATTTAAATTTCTCGGTAGTAAGATTGATAATATAGGCCGTACTCCATCTTTAGAAGGGATAGTAGATAGCTTTTTGAACGACCTTAACAAGGTAGACAGCCAACTGATCAGTAACGTTAAAAAAGCGTGGATCTACGATAATTACTTAACTTCACGTTTGAACTGGCCTTTCCTCGTCTATGATTTTAATAAAACCCTTTTGTCAAAGTTGGATGCAGGCGTCATAAAGATGTTGAAGTTGTGGCTCGGGCTCGCGCTAACGGCTGATTCATCGGCGTTATTTAGGGGAAGCAATAGTTTTGGGATGAGTCTAAAAAGGCCATCGGAGCTCTATAAACACTTAAGAGTTTCCAAGAGATATATCCTGGGGAAATCCCATGATGACGTAGTGACATCGCTCCCAAAAGATGAAGATGCCCCCGAGCTAGAGTCACGACTTCAATTCCATAAGCAATTTATGATGGGAGCACAAAGTAACAGAGTGGGATTAGGATCAAATAGGAAAGTCCAAGATGCGGATATATTGAAGTCTTTTATTCGGCAAGACGAGAATGATAAATATAAGATCCATGCAATGAATTTAGAAATGCAGAACGAGTGGTTAGACATAGGAGATTTTTGCATCCCATTAACATGAAAATGGCGCACTTTAATTTATGATTGGTCGCCAGCATTGCTAAAATTCTATCTCAATGCGTTCCAGATGACTCTACCAGTTCAGAGTAATTTAGTAAGATGGGGAAAAGTACCGAAAAAACTTGCTATATCTGTGGAAAGGCAGTTGGAACTGCTAAGCATCTGCTGGTGGGATGTAAGGTACTCCTGGACAGCGGTCAATACTCGCGTCGTCAGCCAGTCTTTCGGTAGCCAGAGCGCAAAAGGAAATAACCACAAACGAACGATCAGTAGGTTTTGTGAGAGAAGGGACTAGGGCTACAAAATCAAGCGTCAAGCCTTACTCCATCCTTAAAGCGGCGTCGGATTGGACTATAATGATGGACACGTATGAAAAACAATATAAAATCCCCGAGGATATTTGTGCGTAAGCCTCCAGACCGGATATATTTTTGTTTTCGTGAATTTTAAAACGCGTAGTGATGATAGAGCTTACGGTCCCTTGGGAAACCAACATCCCCAAAGACCATACCATCAAGGTCAACAAATATTACGAGCTCACAAACGAACTCACTCGAAATAGGTTCGTAGTAGATTTGTACGCGGTAGAGGTGGGAGCGAGAGGTATAACAGCGAAATCTACAACCTACTAAAGGACCTGGGCTTGTCCAGAACTCACATTAATGCATTCTTGGAACGTACATCGAAGGCAGCCATAGTAGGTTCTTATCAAATTTGGTTAGGTAGGGAGAGGAGCTTGGACAGTGGAGGTGAGCGTATAACGCGCGTTAGTTAAGGGGCCCCTTAAGCCTACACTTGGGTCGCAAGTCCCAGGCACTGTTGAAGCTCCTCTCCCTGCAACGCGATGGACCCGGCACCCGCACGGTGAATCCATAGAATGATGAGTAGTTTCGTCTCTGTTTTTTGCCCGCGACTTCGTCCGCGTTAATTTCGTCATTAGTAATATATGTATAGCTGACCGGGCGAACTCTATCCCGTCCTAAATAACCAGTTATTGGTATTTATTAAATTTTTCCTGTTTCAATCGAACAGAATGGTTGAAATAGAAAAGGGCTGATTTTAGAGTTTTCCCGGAAATGAATCATTTTTTTTCAGCTTTTAGAACTTATCTGAACCTCCACGAACATTTCAAGAATAAGATAAGATAAATCCGTTCAGCCGTTCTCGAGTTTTAGTGCGACTAACGAACAGCAATTCATTTTTATATATATATAAAATGTAAATATATTTTTTTTTAATTGATTTACATATGTACTATCTTTCATTTATTTATGTAATCATTTTGACGTGTCGGAAGCGTTCAGTTAATGTAATAAAAATAAAAGTATTGAATAAATAAACTCAAAAAATATTCACCCATACGTTAAATAATAACAGAATAATATTAAATATTCAACAGTACATACCGTCACACTACTATCGTACATCAGCTACATACACTTCTCTTCATAGAAGGTTTCCTCTCGTCCGCAGACCACGTCCTAACAGACGCTCCACCAACAGCTTCGACCCTCATCTTGAATTATATATTCTCACGAGTCCTGGAACGTTACAAACAATACTATTTCATATAAAGACTATCCACTTCATAATAAATTATTATTGTTCATATTAAAGATGGCACATATTTTAGGATGTGGTCAAAGATTAACAACAAAAAAGTTAAAATAAAAATAGTAATGATTTAAACCAAACTATCAAAATAATAAGTCTTCGCAAAATATAGCGTTTAGAAAATAATAATTTTCTTAAGACTGCGGTCTTCTACAAAGATTTGTTTGGATATCATTAACTTTACTTATCTTTATATTTTGAAACAAACATATATTTCATGATCGATGGACAGACCATGTAGTGAAAACATACGACGGTAGTGAAACTATGAGTACTTTGATTGAGGAAGATGTTTCTGTAGGAGAGCTCTAAATTGTTTTAAATAAATTAAAAATAAATTATCTTTCTTTATATACGTACATTCCAGGAGGTTCTTTGATATCAATAGACACATCAAACACGTACTGTACATGTTTATAGTGAACACACTCCTTATATTGTCTGGAGACTGCTACAGTTGATACTTCAAGTCTTCTCTATTCTAATATGTTACAATAACCGAGTCATTCTCCTCTTCATATAATTCTATGTTTCATCAATACTTGGTTCATTGTTAGTTTTCATCTAACACTTGATGATCAGCCGTCATCTCCTGATGGATGAATCTCAAGTACAGTCCAATAACACCATCTGTAAAACATAATACAATATTGTTCTTATATAGAGACATACAAAGACACTTACTTCAATTATTGTCGGTTTAAAATAAATTATTAAATGTTTAAAAAAATTACAAAAACACTCGCTTATAAAATGACAGACTAAAAGTAGCATATTTTTAATTATTCAAAATAAAACTAGAATGAAAAAAAGAGATTCGTTCAGTGTTTAAGTTCGTGGAGTGCTAGATATTTCTATTCCATTGATTATGTCATACAAGGCGAGTGTACACTTTGGGTACATGTGAGCAATTCCATTCACTTTAGGCTAAAACACATGGACGTACTCTTTTCCCATTGTGTACACTACACTCGCCTCATATTATGATTAGATATCTGTAAGGGTACCGTTATATTAAAAAGATATGTGGTACTTTTATAACTAGCTTTCCGACCGCAGCTTCGCCCAAGAGAACTTTTCAAAAGTCTGCAATAAAAACTATCCCATGTTCTTTGTCAAGGTCAACTCCATCTCTGTACCAAATTTCATTAAAATCAGTTCAGTTGTTCAGGTGTGAAAGCGTAACAGACAGACAGACAGACAGAGTTACTTTCGCATTTATAATATTAGTAGGGATAAATTGCTTCCATTTATAACTCTATCCTTTTTTGTGTTATTAAACAAATATTAACTTTATAATTTAGTATTTTATTACAGTGTTTATTTATTATTTTTCAAATCCCTACTAATATTATAAATAGGAAAGTAACTGTCCGTCTGTTAAGTTTTAATTCCTAAGCCGTTGAACCGTTCGTGATGAATTTTAGTATGTATATAAATGAAGCACAGGAAAATGACTTCGGCTACTTTTTATCCCGATTATCCGATTACATAACGATTACCCGATCCCGAAAATTTACGGGTTGAAGCATGAAGTGGAAGCAGTTCAGGTTCAGTGGCCTTAGTGACAGAGAACAACTGTGATGTACACGCAGACGGAGCCGCGGGCAGCAGCTAGTTATTATTATAATTATTATTATTTATTTCTGACAGTAAGTAACAAACATACAAAATAACATACAAGTGATGCTAAGAAAAAAGAAATAGAAATATTTTTAGCAAACCGGAAAGCTGTAACGTATATACATATGTGTTTCAAATAGTCAAGTAGCAATATGAAGATACTTAAAATATTTAATATTTTTAATGATGTTACATTTCAGGTCTCCATTAAAATATTTTATCTAAATAAATCTTTTAATAATTGACTTACTATTTTTTATTTATTTATTAAATCATTATGACGTATCGAAAGCGAATGGTAACTGAATAGTTAATGTAATAAAAATAAAAGTATTGAATTAATGAACATAAAAAAATATTCACCCTTACTATAAATAATAACAGAATGATATTAAATATTCAACAGTACATACCGTCACACTACTATCGTACATCAGCTACATACACTTCTCTTCATAGAAGGTTTCCTCTCGTCCACAGACCACGTCCTAACAGAAGCTCCACCAACAGCTTCGATCCTCATCTTGAATTATATATTCTCACGAGTCCTGGAACCTTACAAATAATACTATTTTATATAAAGACATATACCAACTTACTAATAGATTATTAGTCATATAAAAGATACTACATATTTTAGGATATGGTCAAATATTATCAACAGAAAAGTTAAAATATAAATAGCAATGAATCAACGAAACTATAAAATTAATAAGCCTACGCCCAATATAGCGTTTAGAAAAAAATTAAATATTATGTGTTCCTACCCACTGGTAGACGTAATAATGACTGAGATATTAAACAATGTTTTATGTGAAGTAATAATTGTATTATAATAAGACGTGTAAAGAACTCACCATGAAATAAAACAGAGGACTGAAGAAGACGCCAGAGTCATGAGGAAGATCGCAGCTGACTGTGACCAGAGGAAGGAGGAACATGAACCGGTTTGATTTAAAGACTGACTGACGTGAAGCAGGGAGCTTGGATACACTGAGGATGTTAGGACCGTTACACACGATGGGTGGGGAAGAGATGTGTTGCTATATGTAGTAATATAATAATAACAATATAAAATAACGTGATATTGGTCATTAAAGCCACGGATACATTTTGTTTTAATTATAATTGATGAAACACGATTTGAAACATTTGCAGAGAGGAAGTGTTGTCACTTTCATTTAATTAATATTTACGAAATATATTGAATTTAAAAGAAAAAGTAGGAATATTGATTTTAATATAAATCAACCATCAAATACTTCAAATAAAATAAAAACAATAGTCTTAGTTATAACTTTGGTATTTCTTAATTATTTAATATTTACTAGAAGCTATACATTGATTTAGTGTATATCAGACTTAACACGACGTTTTCAATTGTGAAGGTTGGCAACATTTAAACAACAGTTTAATGTAATTTTAAATTAAATATAACTTTTAACAAGGATGATTGTTTTAAAATGTTAAATGAAAATTGGTTTAATATTTTATATACATTTTATTTCGAGTTTAGGCATAAAGTATGCAAAGCAGAATATGTAATACCTAGTGTTTTTATGTTCATCATCTGGGTAGTTTGATATATTGAGTTCGTCTGGTGAGTGGAGACATGAGTCATTAAGTTTGTAAGAATGAACAGCAAGTTTCAGATTGTTATTTTAAGTTGATTTTATGAATTTAATACATTAACATACATTCCACTTGTTTAAAAGTATCGTAAAAAATTTAATACTAATAAAAACATAGTCAGTGGTGGCTCAGTGGTTAAAGGGCCCGCCTCTCGGCCTCTCGTCGCCGAGGGCGCGGGTTCGATCCTGACCCGGGCAAGTACCAATGTGATTTTTCGGAATCATATGTACTTTCTAAGAGTATTTAGACATCACTGATTAATGTTGATTCCCAAAAGAGGGTTGATGTCAGGCAGGCGGCCGGTCGTAAAAACAAATAGCCAAAAACTATTCATAACATGTATGGCAGACCCTGGCTATAGCTGGGAAATTGCCAGGTAGAAGAAGAAGAAAAACAATAATTACGACAATTAGTAAAACATAGAAAAGCCCTTTTTGGTTTTGATTAAGGCGGCCAACTTTCCGAAAACTGAATGCGGGACTTAACCTTTCATGAATGGCGGGGTGGGGGAGGGGGGGGGGGGGGTGTTAAGGATTGGGAATGTCATAAAAATCTTCGCAATGGCCCATATTAAATTTAAGTAAAAAGAAAGAAAACGAGATTAGCGCGGGCGCGCTACGCTTGTCCATATTATAGGTAATCTGTGTTCCTGCACTGTTGACCGTGGGCGCGTATGGGTGTTGTGTAGAAGTCTGGTAGAAAAATTGGGATGCGGGACATGCGGGACGCATACAACGTTTTGCGGGACTATTTTACTAATAATTTCAAAGCGGGATTTCGTCTAGTATTGCGGGACGGTCCCGCAGAATGCGGGACGGTTGGCCGCCTTAGTTTTGATAAATCGTGTTATTGTTCTTAATTACCGCCATCTATTGTTATTATTTAGAAGCTTTAGTAGTGCTGTGTCGTTAAAGTGGTTGTCTTTTTTCCCACAGATGTCACTTATCTCATTTAAACTACTAATATTTAACTTGAAACCTTATTATATAAAACCTAGTATTATATTGCAATAAAACTCTACAGTGACATAATTGATACCTGAAAATAGTGTTATATCTATAATTCATCCCGAGAATTACGTGTAAACTTTAAAGTAGACTTGACAATTACTGCACAACAGATGAACGTAGTTTGTATTTAGTGTAATGATTGATAGATGTCGCTGTACGGTTTTTACCAGCTTTTGAAATATTTTACCTACCTATAAACCAATTGTTATTAAAAGTTAAAAAGTTATTAAAACGTGTCTGTTCATGAATGCATTAAGATCTATTACAAGAAGTTAGCTTTATATAGAATTAGGATTTTAATATATATGGTGACTTTTGTTTCTTTGCTTTTAATATTATGTAAATAGTACAAATATTATTTTATCATGAAACTACATTCAAGCTGCCAGTCATGTCAACTCAAACTATTAATGTGTCGTTCTAAATGTCACAAGCTGTGTATTCCAGAGGTCTGGTCCCAGTTCACATCGCCTGTTCCTACGGACATTACGAGCTCGATGAATGATGGCCTGTTTGTTTGTTACGTCCTGTTGATCATGACAATATATAAATATTAAATATACTGAAATGTTCATACTCAATAACATGCCTCACATGTCCTTTAAGTATATATTGATCGTTTAATTTCTTTTGAATATACATCAAAGGGCAATGTCCATTTTTGGCCTAGCGTGAACAAGCTGCTATAAAAAAAACAAGTTTTAATGAAAAAAAATCTTTTTTTTAGCTAGCCATTCTATTGTTGTTTGAGTGTACATTTGTATTTTATTGATACAATATTTTAAAAGTATCTTCATTGATTTGCTTTATGATCCACGTTTTGTGTGAATCATCTCGCAGTACTTAATACAACTATAAGTACATATTTAAAACAAAATGAATTAAAAATATTTGTTTTAATTAGTTTAGTCATTTAAAACGTTTTATTAACTGAAATATGAAGAATGTTAAACGTAATCATATCTGTTTTCGATCGATTTTTTAATGTTTTTTTTTTTCTATTGCAACACTAATAAAACAAAAAATACAAATTGACATTTGTGTGTCACAAACTGATTTTTAAATTCGCTTTGTTTACCTACATTGAGAGTGTAGATTTATTGTGGATTTTCTTTCAACGATTGTTTATTCATTATGGACTCCGATTTATCTTTTTCCAATGAACCCGGCACATCTACGGACCCGAATTTCGCTCAAACGATGACCCTGGCTTTTGTATTATGGACTCCGAACATAGCATAAACGATGACCAACACTCCGTAATATGGACCCCGAAACTACTTGGATGAAAACTGACATGGAAACCGAACATTGAGGATATCAGATCAAAACTCATCGCTTGTAGGAGCACTCCGAAGATCTAATAATTGTATACCAAAAAAAGTGCGAAGTGTTATCTACAATTCCCTGATAAAACCACACATTGATTACTTAATTGAAATATGGGGGTCAGCTTCAAAGTCTAACCTTAAAATCTTACAAATTACGCAAAAAAAATCATAAAATCAAAATTATTCAACCTAAATCAAACATACATTTTAACACATGTATTTTAATTAAAAAGATACTATCTAAAAGTATTTATTCAAACATAACATTTACACAAAAATCAAACAAGCATAACTTAAGAAACAAAAATAAACTTGAGTTACCTAAAGTCCAAACCTTAAATTATGGACACAAAAATATATGTTTTGATGGAGTAAAACTATATAATGATTTGCCAAACTACATAAAGGAATGTGAATGTTTAAATGCTTTTAAAAGTAAACTTAAAATATATGTATATATATATTAGACAATATTAAGTAGTACTAGCCGTTCCATGTATCAAATATTAATGTATGTGTGTAACATTATTTAATCTGATGTAAGTGAACCTATGTATGTTCTTATGAGAATAAAGATCTTTAACCATAAACTATCTGCATCGCTAACTAAAATAATCACAATGGTAAGGAAGCTACAAAAGAAAATTATTGTAATTGCATGGTTGGTCGAAGGACAGTGGGTTCCTGCGCTCATATAGTTACTAATTTATGGTTTTAAGTTGAGCAAGGTATCAGGAACACATTTCCCCACCTGTCCAATTTCTTGAACACATTGATAACATATGATGTCTCAGAATAAAAATAAATCATAAAAAATGTTGTTTTATTTTGCTTTAACCAGTTTTTTCTCACATGACAAATATCTCTTTTTAAACATTTTGATACAAAACTAAGTTCATATTCTCATTATTACTAGTTAGTGCTTTTAAACTAATTACAAAAAATATGATAAAATGTCTGTTCACGTCAGGCCAAAGTCCCCATACTAAGTGGACAATCTCCTTTATCATTTATATAAATAATACAACTTTTCTATTATTTATTCACGACACAAGACGATTATTAAAGGTTAAATTAGTTCAGTAGTCTAAAACACACCTACAGCTTCCTATAATAATGCGTTTGCTCAAAGAGTTAGCCAATATAAGATGAGAGGAGTATGAAGTTGATAACATTTTAATGATACATACAACAACCCCCAGATTTGTTCCCTGCTGTTTAGTTCTGATGCTGACAAGTCTAATGTCCCTTTGTAATAACATCACACTTTACAATAATAATAAATAAAAAATATATTTTTTTTTAATTTTCTTTAACAAATTTGTACTTAAATATAAAGTTATAGGAGTCTCCTTTTAAGCATATGAAAAGCCTGTGCCAGGAAACTCCGCTGTTCCATATCACGAATTAGGTATAAGTATACAATACCCCTGCCGATGGCGGAGTCTTGATGAGGCGCTCTTGGGACGGGCCCTACTCCTTAATTACAGACCCGAAGGGCCCGTATATTACTGGTAGGTCAACCACTCCTCCTAGTGACACTGTCAAGACTCAAGGCCAACAGTTACAGTGAAGTAGAAACTAAAATGTAATTATTATTTAAGAAGAGATTTACGAAAAACATATCGTTTTAATTATTCTCCTTAAAAAGGCCGTTGTGTATTGTAACTAGAGTTTATTATAAAATTAATATAATCGACTTCTAGAATATAATCTATCAAACATGATTTCATTAGCATGTAATATCAGTTTTACTCATAAACTAATCATTTCAAAGTCTTTAAGACATCCATTCAGGACTCCGATCAGCATCTCTTGCTCAACAATATTGTTGTGCTATAATTTTATGCTCCGACTGGGCTTGATTTACATTTATACAGAAAAACTAAAGTTTCATTTAAAAATGTACACATGTGTCTGGCTTGAAACTAAAAACCAATTAGTTATTTATCTTCGTGTTTAGTATTAGTAATAGAGAAATAGATGCTAGAGCTTAAGATCATTTCTTTTGGTGAGAATATATGTTATATACAAATATCTTATTGTGTTGTTGTCTACGGTATCGTTTACATAAATTTAAAAATTGTGTGTCAGGGACAGGGCTATAACAATGTTGATGAAATGAAATATACTGAGGGGTTTAATATGTTTGTATCTTGTATAGTTATCAATGAACAGTTCTAGAATAAATTAGAATACAAAGAAATTACTCAATAGATGGCTTTGTTACCAATCACTTAGCCAATGAATATATAGTTCTGTTTAAATGAAACTAAGACTTGGATTTAAAACATATTTATTTTGATATTTTACATATTAACAGACGTTTCGGCTTCTCTTTAGTAGCAGTAATCACGAACAGACGAGAAGAAAGAGTCTGCATTTAGTCTTGTTATTACATTATTACAGTTATGAAAGTGGAGCAATCTTCCTTGTACAGTCTTTATTTACTAGTTCACCTAACTACATATATATGATAATTAACGATGAAAGAGAAATGACAATTATGATATATTTCTGTACACATACGTGTCTTAAAGACTATAGTGAATTTAAACATCTCAACATCAATGTAAGCTATATAAATTTATATTTATTTATTTTACAAAAAATCATATTGCATCTTAAATTTAAATAAACATATTATATTAAATAGAACGTGTAAAACGGATGGATGTTAGTGAGAAGTTCGAAGTGTTTGTACGTGTAAAACTTGCACAAGATTGGTGTTGGTCCTACGCTAGCGTAGCATTCGCTCATCGGATTCTGAAACCCCTTCAGACTCTCTATAACTGCTTGCTTCCTATTCACGATCACGGGCGCCCCGTGGTACCACTATCCCAATCCTCTGGTGAAGGAAGTGATGACCTACCTCCCAAATAGATATCATGAGGGTGTTAGGACACGTCTCAAGCACGTGCTCAGCGATCCGGAACAAGAAATTACGACTAGCAATAAACGATGCGCCGTGCGAGCGGTGCACATTTATAAAAACGGGCCGACCGACCGAACACACATCCGCGGGATGCCTTGTGAAATCCCGATAGAGTCCATTCTTAGTAACCTTAAGTCACAAGAATTTCCGGTCCAGGCAGTACACCGGATGTACCGCCCGACAAACAAGAAACCGTTCAATATGGTGCTTGTCCACTTGGACAACACCAAAGAGGCAAAAGCCATTTTTAATATACACACGGTCTGCTACCTGTCCGGCTTACAGGTAGAGCTCCCCCGCGGCCGTAGCATCCCTGGGCAGTGTCATCGCTGCCAATGCTACGGCCATTCCGCTAGATTTTGTTACGCACGCCCGAGATGCATGAAATGCCTAGGCGACCACGCGACGGTCGAGTGTTCCGATGGTGTTTGTGTTACGTGTCAACAAGTTACAGAAGAGGTCAGAAGATCGACGTGTCCGGCGTCGATAGAAGTATCAGGAAAAGGGTAGCAGTCACCGTCGTATAGTCGCCGTTGTCCTGCCACCCTCACAAAGTATTTACACAGTCGTTAGGGGTTAGGGAAATAGGTACACCCCTGTTACCTAATAACAGGGTCTAGATTAGAATCAAATAGATTACACACCTCCCTGCCTTGCAGGGAGGACTCCCCTTAAGTCCGTCGAACATCATGGGCAACCATATTTCGGGCCGTGCAGAGGCCCTATTAGCGTTCATTATCAAAAAATATCCAGATGCGTACAAGGAGTTCACCGAGGTGAACCCTGAAGTAAACCCCACCGTTTTCGATACGGACAGCCCGGCCTCACCGAACTGTCCAAAAAGCAATCCATGTGACATGGATTGCTCGCCAATCGGCTCGGGAGCCGAGTCAGACACGACGCCGTCCTCCTCGGACACAGAGGAGGATAACGACGGGTTCAAACCCGTCCTTACCAAATCTGGTAAGAGGAAGGCGGCAAAATCACTAAAGGCGCCGCCGCCAAACAAAAAACCATCGACCCCAGCAGCTGCCGGTGCAGCTGCGCACGTACCTGCGGGCACACCTGTGTCCGCACCTGCGGGCACACCTGTGGGCACACCTGTGTCCGCACCTGCGGGCACACCTGTGTCCGCTCCTGCGGGTCTATCTGGGTCCGCACCCAAAGCATTTACAAAATACCCGCCGCCGTTATACATTAGAACCAATAAGAGCTGGAACGCCATATCCAGCCTCTTAAACGACAAAAAGATAAAATACGTGTCGGCACGTAATACTCAGGCGGGAATTAAGGTCACCGCGGCCACACCGAATGAGCATCGCGCGTTATCCGCGATGCTTAGACTACAAAAATTAGAATACCACACCTACGCCCTCCCGGAGGAGCGTAGGCTAACAGTCGTCATATAGGGTCTCCCCGCGGAGATTCCCATTGATGAAATAAAAGAGGACCTTAAGTCCCAAAACCTGCCAGTTTTAGAGGTGCATTGTATGCACCGACCAAATAAAAACCCGTTCGATATGGTGCTAGTCCACCTATCACTAACCCCGGAGGGTAAGAAAATATTCAACATCGCATCAGTTTGTCATCTTTCCGGACTGACTATAGAGCCACCGCGGAACCGCGGAGCCCCGGGGCAATGTCACCGTTGCCAACTTTACGGGCACTCGCAGAGGTTCTGTTACGCACGCCCGCGCTGCGTAAAGTGCCTAGGCGACCACGCCACAACAGACTGCACGAGGGATGCGGCTACGGTGGAACCGCCCAGCCGCGTCTTGTGCGGACAGAGACGGCTCCGGAGGAGAACCTAGATCGGCTCATCAAGAAGCATTTCGCCATAGAGTCGTTTGGGGTACAACCGCGTCAACCTACAACCGACGCGGAGGGCAAGGCGCGCCAGATATTAGAAAGTACCACCAAGCAGCTGAGAGATGGTCGTTTCGAAACTGGCCTCCTGTGGCGGAACGAAGATGAGCCGACTCCGGATAACCTGAGGTCAACAGAAAACCGGCTGCGCCACATTGAAAGGAAGCTGGACAGGGACCCGAAGCTCAAAGCGGAATACGGGAGGCAAGTCCAGCACCTGCTGGACAGCGGGTACGCCGACGAGGTTCCAGAAGACGGCGGCTCGGCGAGAAGATGGTATCTGCCGCATTTTGCCGTGACCCATCCCACAAAAAGAAGATTAGACCGGTCTTTGACGCCGCTGCGAAGTTCAACGGGAAAAGTTTGAATGATATATTATGGCCAGAGCACAGGAAATTCAAGACGTCTATCACCGGGGAGGAAAAAGAAGCCAAGCACCTCGTGGCCGTCGTTTCACCTAGCACATAGCCTTCCCACACCTGACCCGGTGAGATTCTCCCGGTGGGTAAGGCTCCTACGGGCAACCGCGAGGGTGCTTCAATTCGTTTTCAACTGTGCCGCAGGGAAAGGACTCTAAGCACACGATCCAGCGACCCGGTGTGGACAAAGAAACACAATAAAGAGAAAACGAAGGCACAGCACTCAGCTCCACTCGCAATAAAGGAGCGGTACCGTCCCCTGGAGCCCGAATGGCTAAAAAAGGCGGAAGAATTGCTACTACGAAGAAGCCAAGAATGATTCAAAGAGGAAAGAAAGGCTGTGGAGAGCCAGCAACCCCTAGACCGGAAGAGCAAACTTAAACGGCTGGATATCGCCGTGAACGATGGGCTTATAAGGATCCGCGGCAGGATCGACGCCGCCGAAGAACTCGACCGCGATCTCAGGCAGCCAGTAGTATTAGACGCGAAAGATGACATTACGAAGTTGATCCTGACCCATTACCACGATAAGTTCAATCACGGTAACCACGCTACCGTGATGAACGAAGTAAGGAGAAGGTTTTGAGTCCTGGGCCTGAGATCAGCGGTGCGAGCGATAGCCCATCGGTGCCAGTGGTGTCTAGTACCTAAGGGCACTCCGAAGACCCCACCCACGGGAGATCTACCGCGGGAACGGCTCCGATACGGTGAGCCACCTTTCACTTGTACCGCGGTGGATTATTTCGACCCAATGACGGTCACCGTGGGGAGGAGAAACGAGAAGCGGTGGGGGGATTGTTCACTTGCCTCACCACCAGAGCGATTCATTTAGAGTTGGTCGCCTCATTATCGGCCGACTCGATGACACTGGCGCTCAGAAGGATGACGGCCCGCCGGGGTTGGCCCAAGGTTATGTTTAGTGACAACGGGACCAATTTCGTGCGGGCTAACAAAGAAGTTATCGAGGCGCTCGGAACGGAAGCACAATTGAAGGGCATCAGGTGGAAGTTTATACCACCTGGTGCTCCGAACATGGGAGGCACGTGGGAGCGTCTGGTGGCCTCCGTAAAGACGGCCCTCTCCGCGACGTTGAAAGAAAGGAAACCAAGGGAAGAAGTTTTGCATTCCTTGCTTTTGGAGGCCGAGCATATAATAAACTCGCGGCCACTAATAGAAGTAGATGACCACAAGGAAGAGTCTCTGACCCCGAACCATTTCCTGATTGGGAGGTCTTGCGGGGCGCCGACGATGGGAACATTCACTGAAGACGAGGTCAAGGGTAGGACCTGGAAAGCAGCGCAACATCTAGCGGACCACTTCTGGGCGAGGTGGATGAAAGAATACCTCCCTACTCTTGTTCCTCGTCGAATTGGAGGCGGCGCCGACACCGCAGATCTTCAGCAGGGGGACGTGGTCATCGTTGTGGACTCGACGCTACCAAGAAACTCGTGGCCGCGAGGAGAAGTGATAAGGGTTTACCCAGGCCCCGACGGGCGAACGCGCGTAGTAGACGTGCGCACCTCCACTGGCTTTATAAAAAGGCCGAGCTCGAAGATTGTAAGGCTGGTGAGCCAGCCCACCGTTGAAGACAAGATCGCCGAGCAGCAGCGCGGCGGTCCGGAACAGCTTCGCGTCGCCGGACAAGAGGATGGTGCGAAGCACGAGGGGGCGTATTTCGGCGACGCAGCTAATATTTAGTAGATAATTAGATTTAAATATAAGAGATGTAAATATTAAGGAAATTAGGTTAATTTTTATATAGAAATTGTATGTTTAATAAATAAAAGACTGTACGGAAAGCGACTCTTGTAAGAGCGCATCATGTTAATTGTAAATGTACACGTATAACTATGAATATATCTATTGTTGTAAACTAAATGCGAACCTATTGAACAATAAACGTACGGCGGTAGAGTCACTTGGAAGGGGCGGGGCATTCGCGCTGACTCACAGCGGTGCTAGGTGCGCGCGCGCAACGCGTATAGAACACGGCCGCTGTGAGTCGAAAAGTAATCTTAATCTTTACCAGAAGCAATCGAGTAGGCATCCCCTACAGAAAGGTCTCACTTTACGATAGTCCCATTCCTTGGCAAAAAAGAGCCAAATATCTGAGGGTTACTCTAGATAGTTATTTCAGCTTTAATCCCCACATTCGAACTGTCAGAAATAGGGCATCCTTCATCTTAGGTCGCCTATACCCCCTTATCTGCAGAAAAAGTAAACTGTCCCTTAGAAATAAGGTCACACTTTACAAGACCTGCATACTTCCCGTTATGTCATACGCAAGCGCATGCTTCGCCCATGTCCGGCCCTCAGCCATTAACAAACTGCAAGTAGTGCAAAATAGATTCATGCGCACAGCCACAGGCGCACCCTGGTACCTCAGGAACTCAGATCTTCATAGGGACCTCCAACTTCCTACGATAGCTGCGCACATCAAGATGATCTCAAAGAGATTCTTCGATACCGCGTCAATTCATCCGAACCCGCTAGTAATCCAAGCGTCTAAATATTCCCCGTCACCCAACTCCAAATTAGGTAAGAGGCGTCCCAAAGACGTCCTCTTAGACCCTGACGACCAGATCACGACAGACAATACGAACAATAATCCCAACAACACACCAGACATCAGAAACACACACCGCCTTCGCCGGCGAAGGCGAGGTCCCGTTTCATACACGTCACTCCGGCGTTCTGCCGTCGGGGGGCGTCATGTATTCAATCAACCGACTAATACCTCCACGACAACGACGTCCTAAGCCGAGGTTCGGCCTCTTAGAGGCACCCTTGGGACGGGCGTATCCCTGGTCGGGCCCTTTGGGCCCGAATTAAATCGGATCCGTCCCATCAGGACCACCCACCCCTCTCGGTGACGCTGTCAAAGCCACTAGGGCCAACAGCATATGTCAATTCGAAGAAAAAAAAAATAAAAAAAAATCGAAAAGTCAGTCATCAGCCAGCTCTCGTGATTACAACAACTCCTACGCTTTGAAGAACCCGAACTGTGAAGAACCCGAACATTGAAGAACCGAACTTAAAGATAGTGACTAGGGCCCACGTGGTCATTTAAACCAAGTGATTCTGTCGCCATTACTAGCAAGTTGTGGTTTCATTGTGAACGGCGATACGACCCGCCTCGAACCCTGATCCCGAGGATCGGATCACCGGCCGCCTACTATCGGAGGAATTAATATCTGATCCGATCCACCCCTCAAGCGGCGAACGATTCCGATTGTAACAATCGGACATCCCGACCGCAACAACACCTCAGTCATCTACACTACAAACATCCGTTTTAGAATTAGCCTTCATTAAATATTTTAATATTGTTATCAGTCTTAACACGTGGCGTCCTATACAAAGACTCGTTTGAATATCATTTAATGTACTTGTTTTACAATTACCTTTATATGTATTTTAACACAAACATGTAAAGAGATATAAGATTTTCGCGAGTCTTATTCATTTAAATAAACATGTATCTCATGATCGATGGACAGACAATGTAGTGAAAACATACGACGGTAGTGAAACTATGAGTACTTTGATTGAGGAAGATGCTTCTGAAGGAGAGCTCTAAATTGTTTTAAATAAATTAAAATTAATTATCATTCCAGGAGGTTCTTTGATATCAATAGACACATCAAACACGTACTGTACATGTTTATAGTGAACACACTCCTTATATTGTCTGGAGACTGCTACAGTTGATACTTCAAGTCTTCTCTATTCTAATATGTTACACTAACCGAGTCATTCTCCTCTTCATATAATTCTATGTTTCATCAATACTTGGTTCATTGTTAGTTTTCATCTAACATTTGATGATCAGCCGTCATCTCCTGATGGATGAATCTCAAGTACAGTCCAATAACACCATCTGTAATACATAATACAATATTGTTCTTATATAAAGACAGACACTACAAGGATTGGCTTAAATAAATAATTAAATGTTTAAAAAATTTACAAAAATACTCGCTTATAAGATACCAATCTAATGATTGGAGGAGGTGCTCTCAAAGGTGCAGGAAGCAAACCGTAAATGACTTAATGGCTAAGGAATCGAAGGTTAATAGGAGAACACTCACCAGCAGCACCAGATCCGCTGTGTGGCAGATTGAGTATGGAGTCAGTGACAGTATGGAGTCCGGAACAATCAGCAAGGAAGAGCAAAAAGACGAGCTCCTGGTCGGCGGAACTCCTGAAATAGAATAACAATACAATGTAGTCATTTAAATAACAATGAATGACCAAACATTAAATATACTTAATGTTAAATTCAATGTTAAAAATGTCAAAATGTTAAATGTTAGAATGCTAAAATGAAATATGTTAAAATGTAATATGCTAAATGTAAAATGTTTAAATGTCAATGTTTAAATCTATACTAATATTATAAAGCTGAAGAGTTTGTTTGTTTGTTTGAAAGCGCTAATCTCCGAAACTACTGGTTCGAATTGTATAATTCTTTTTGTGTTGGATAGCTCAGTTATCAAGGAAGGCTGTGGGCTATATAACATCACGCTACAACCAATAGAAGCAAAGATATAGTGGTAAATGTGTAAAAAACGGGAGAAATTATTTCATCTTTCAAGCATACGTTGCGTGCGCCGTGAAAATGGTTCAAGATACACAAAAAATATGTATTAAAGAATAATAGCTCTTTTAATGATCTAAAAAAACAGTCCGAGACAGTATATGTCTATCTTTTAAGATTAACTCACAAAAACCGTTTTTATGGTACCTAATTTTGTCGAAATAATTTGTTTAAGTTGTATCAACATAATAATATTAATCTTTATTCAAATAAACAAATAAATATGTTGTTGGTTAAGAGCACTTCATTATTAATAAAAAAAAAAACATAGGTTTTATCCTGAAAATTCTACGGGAACTCGACCATTCCGAAAAGAACGGGAACTATGTGGTAAAAAACAAAAATTTGTCGGAAGTCACTATTCCACGCGGACGAAGCCGCGGCAAAAGCTAGTGTTAAATATGTCGTTACATAAATTTAATGTAAAAATTAAGATAAATGTAGAATGTAAATAGGATAAGGGCAAATAATTGTAAATAGTGAAAAATTTAAAATAAATTGTAAAATAGAATTGTCGCAATTGATAACAGTAAACTGGAAACGTATGAAAAGTCATCAAGCACAATGTAATAAGAAATAAAAGATGAAAATAGTATAATAGAATATAAGTCAGGAACACGATAGGAAAGGTATAACCTAGGAATGAAAGAGATGTATGACAGAAAGATAGTATGAGGAATGAAAGGCCCTAGCAGAAGATAGAACTAGCATGAAAGTGTCGAAGAACAAAAGGTCTCTGACCACGACAGAAGGACTAGCATACAAAAAAAAAAATAAAAAAACGTACAAATCTAAAAAGGTCTAAATTTTTATACTTAATTCAGATTAAAAATATTATGATCAGAAAAGGGATTCTTTTGGTGTTAAAGTTCGCGGAGTGCTAGATATACTAGATATTACTATTCTGTTAAACCGTACTATAAACTAATATTATAAACTAATATTATAAATGCGAAAATAACTCTGTCTGTCTGTCTGTCTATTACGCTTTCACGCCTAAACCACTGAACTGATTTTAATGAAATTTGGTACGGATATAGAGTTGACCTTGAGAAAGAACTAGGATAGTTTTTTATCCCAGACTTTTGAAAAGTTCTCTTGGAAACGCGATATAACCGTACTCGACGCGGGTGAAGCCGCGGGCGGAAAGCTAGTTAAGCCATATAAGGCGGATGTGTACTATGTTGGTACACGTGAGCAATTCTCTTCATTTTAGGCTCAAACACATGGATACGTACTCTTTCCCACGGTGTACACTCGCCTCTCACGACTTGATATTTATAAGTGTACCGTTATATTCTAAAATCTAAAGATACATCGCGCTTTTTAAATTAAGTTAATTTCTTTCATTTACTATTCCTCTTTAATATAAATTATTTAATAAAAACAACTTTGTAGTTTAGTATTTCATAACACTGTTTTTTACATTAATTTATTTTCCATGTTTTTATTTTGCTAACAACAGATATGTTTTCCTTTTTTGTATCATGAATTGCATGATTTCTATAAGCGATAGCAATTATTTTCCAAATCCCTCTTAATATTATAAATGGGTAACTGTCTGTCTATCTATATGTTACGAGTACGTTTTCACGACTAAGCCGCTGAACCGATTGTGATGAATTTTGTATGAAGATAGATGATACCGATTACACGATCCCAACATTTCGCGGGTGGAACCATGAAGTGGAAGAAGTTCAGGTTCAGTGGCCAGAGTGACAGAGAACAACTCATGTCCACGCGGACGGAGCCGCGGGGAAAAGATAGTTATTATTATAATTACTATTATTTATTTCAGGAAAGAAGTTACAAACATACAAACCAACATACAAGTGAAGCTAAGAAACAAGCGTTAGAAATATTTTCTGTAAATCAGTAAGCCATAACGTATGGATGTGTTGAAAACAATCGAATAACAATAAGGAGCTACTTGAAATACTTAGTATTGTGAATAATTTAAGATAGTATTAAACAGTTAGTGAGGTTACTTTTAATTTGAAAAAATTGATAATATTTCTTTTATTGCATTTCTTCAAATAACAATATCACGGGTGACATCATTGTGTCAGAAACGTTCAATTAATGTAATACGTAATAA